TGGCAGATGACTTGAACACGTGGATTAAAATCTAAAGACAGAGGCTCCAGCTAATCAGGGTGTCTGTCAGGGCGTTCAAACCTCTCCCCACTCCACCCAAATTCAAGGTTATGGAGCCTAATTAAGAATGACCACTACAAAAGTGCCTCTCATGTGACCTGGTTAAGACTCTTAAGCTGTTTCTTGGTTCATGAGTATGCAGAGTACCTTCAGTATCGTTCCTTTTAGTTATTAACCTTTGATTAGCATGAGAAAAACTGGTTAAATTGAGCAGTTTCTGGTACATATTTCACAGACTCAACCATAAGTATCCCAATGAAAATAATTAGTGGCTATACACACAAAAAACAAAAAAACTTCTGGTTGATTCTGATTCTTTTTCAGGTGAATAAGGCAGGGGTTTTACCCCCACAAAACTTCAAGTTTGAGTTAATGGTTTTTAGTGAGAGGTCTTGAGAAGGTTCCTTTTAAACCTGTCAGCTTGGAGCCAGACGGTGAAGTGTGATAGTGGAAAACAAACAGGACCAGGTCTTTCTCGTTCTGGCTCAACTGGAAAAATCCCTTCCTAGCCTTAGACTGACTCTTTTGTGAAAAGACTGCAGTACACTAAAATGTTTCATAAGCTAAAATTTTATGACTGGAAAAGGCAACTTTTTCAAAGCAGCACACCTTACACCTCTGTGCCTATCTTAAAATAATATAGGCATTTAAGACCTGTTTTCTGAATTTACTGTAAACAAGACTTTAAACATCACCCTTCCATCACAGTTATAAGCATTTTGACATATTTCCTTCCTGTGTCTGTTTTTATATTTTGACAGTATTTGTGTTATTATTGTAGGTAGCCTGAGTAAAACAAAAAAAATCTCTGGATTTTAAAAATTTTAACATTTAAGAAGTGATATGTGCAAATGCAGGTAGGGGCAGGATAGCTATTTATACTGTGCAGATAGAGTTTTAGTTATGGATTTGCTTCAGAGTTAAGTTTGGGATAACTGCAAGTGTACCAACATGCCACAGTGTTGTGCTTAGTGTCTAGGTCTTATGCCATCTTTAGTTTTGATGTGACTGTCTTGTGGAATATAGATGTGTGTTTAGGGGAGGGACTTAGGAAAAGAGCAGGTTTTGTCATTTTCAGGTGGAGATTTCTCCTTTCTCCCTGTCAGTTTTGCTTTTCTGGAAGGAGCTAGACTGTAGGACTACTAGTAATTTCTGGGCATTTTTAGGATATCATTTAGTTTTTAAGGTCAGTTGAAGTTATTGTGCAAATTTGCCATTTAAAACAGATGTCCATTGTTCCTTTGCATTTATTGTCTCATAACTGAATTCTGTTAAGTTAGAATCTATTGTAATGTTTTATGCACCGCCTTGTGTAGATGATGCAACGTGCAAGGATCCTGTGCTAACAAATAGAATTTCCTTTAAGGTAGCTCAAAGCTGTTGGTGTCCTAAAGCCTCTTTAAGCCTTACTGTCTGACTGAGGTAGATTAAGGTGCCAGTTTTTATTGAAGGTCATCAGTCCAACTTGGCATTCAGACAAACACTTTGGGGTCACAAAAGTATCTTTGATACCAATGCCTGGAGAATCATTCTCAGTGCACAAAGCTGATAGGAAGCTGCCGGTAGTTGACTGAGTTTCATTCAACATGTTAGTACTTTGAGGGACTTCTGAGAACTTTAAAGAAACACAAGCCCTAAAGTAGTAGCTGAACTTGATAAGGCAGAAGGTAAAGGCAGTTTTAACCAGTGTTTGTGACAGCAACTCTGAGATCTCAGCTTCATAAAATGCTGAATGTCAACTCATAAGTATAGTTATATACTTATAAGTATATACTCATAAGTATATTCAGGTGATACACAATATCAATAAGAGAAAGCTGTTACATAATGAGTTATGTTAATTTTCCACTCTATATCCTGACATCTACAAGTTCTTGACTGTGTTGGAGGCAACCTTTGAGGGATCAACATGGGGCATGAAATAAGATGGCTCCTTCCTTGATGTGTGACTGGCTAGGAGCGATGATGTCACTTTTGGAGGTGGGCAAGGACTCTGCTCCCAGGTGGGGCCTGCCTCAGAAGAATACATTTACTGTCTCCTAAGATTTCAAAACTGGTGCTTCCACATAGGGGCTGGACTCATTCTCTTCATAAATTATTTGTTGGTCTTCAAGTTTTAAATATAGTTTGAAGCTATCTAAATATCTAGATCAAAACCATTTGCCCCAGAGGCTGGATTTATTTTCCATACTGTAAAAGTAATATATGCTTACTATAGGAAATTTGGGAAATATAAAAAAATGAAGGTCTTCCAGAGATGAAATACTATTACAACATTCTGGTGGATTTTTTTCCCCAGCCTTTCTTTTTCCTAAACAAATTGAAAAAGAATTTTAAAGCACACATTGTTAATTGAGGGTAAAAATTTTGACAGTTTAATTTTAATAACCTGAGTTACCTTGTGAGCTTCTTTTTCATGTTGTTACATATTTCTTTGAGTGAGTTTTGAAGATAAATACATAATATACTTTTGTGGGGTATGCTTTAGTATCTTCTCTCTTCTTGTTGGATAATTTAGGAAAAGCTGTTTACCAAGCTTTCTTATGTATATCCAAATATATACTTTTAATCAAGGCATGTTCTCCTTTAAAACTTGACCTTTGCAATTATTTGAAAATTATTTTTATTGATGAATAGGTCTTAATGAACTTTTGGATTCATGTATTCCAGTGAAAAGCCATTGAAATAGGATTTCATGGTTTGGAAAGAGAAATGAAAAGAAGTTAAAGCATCAGAGAAAGAACTATGGATTGCCTTTTAGTCCATTTCCTCATTCTGAGTGGAACTTATGATAAATTCATTATGTATCTGTTTGCACAGTTTTGGCTGCTATAGAAATTGGCACTTTATACTCAGGTCCATTGTGGGAGAAATGTCCATATCCATAAGGTCAAAATACCCTGAATCATTGATTAAGCAGAGTCCAGAGAAAATTGCAGGAGGAATTATTTTTTCCCCCAAGGCTCAGCTGTTGGTCATGAAGCAGGACTGTGGTAGCCACCAAAGTGAAGGCTGTAGCCTAAACAGGGCCAAGTTTAGGGACTGGAGAGGTAGCCATAGCAGCTAATAGGTCAAGGCACTGTTCTTGGTATGTCACATATATTAACTCATTAGTCCCTGCAGCAATCCTGTAAGGCAGGTGCTACTCTTATCATACTTTGCAAAATTTAGAGATTAAGTTGTCCTTCCCAGAATTTGAACCTTGTCTGTCTAGCTTCAGGGCCAGTATTCCTAATTGCTTGACTCTTTTGCCCCTCTGGAGCTAGAAAGGTTCTTAAATCAGGAGGACCTGCAAAGTTCCAGGTTATCCAGCTGGTGGCATGATAGGAGAGAGGTGTGTCTCCTTTTTCCATGTCATTGCTTCTTGATTTTTTTCCTTGTCTCATTTACACTCTGCCATGAATTTTCCCTTTGTACCACCAGAGTACTGAACAGATGGCAAATTCTGATCTAGCTTAGTTTAGTGCTACATAGCCATGATTTTATAGAAAATTAAAAAGTAAAAGGTTTTGCCTGCCCTGGAACTTGGTCTTAGAAGCCTGGAGAGTAGTCGGGATACATGATTAATGCATCAGGTGTGCAGGAGAAAGAGAGCACAGGTTGGAACAGGGGCCCAGGCTTAGTGTAGATGATGGAGCAAAGCACACTTGCATAGGAGATTGACCTCATCTGGGCACATGTGTTTGCTTTCTCTTGGGATTCTGGGTGGCTGGCGGGGGGAGCGCAATTTTAGCCCTCTTGGCATGTTCTAGATCATGTAGAAACTTGTAATAGAGAAGAGAATAGAACTGAATATTAAGGGTCTGAAGTCATGATAGTATCATTCTGTGGTTTTGGGCAACCTTTTCCCAGCGAAATTTTAGGCAGAACTGAAAGATAAGGAATACATAAAAGCAGAGCTGCTGTGGATGAAGTGGGGAGGGTAGTGTGAGTGGAATCCCAGATCACAGTCACTTCTTCCGTCTCCCTCATCCCCTCAGAGGCTTTTCAGAATAACCGCGAATTCTGAAATAGCCCAGCTCCTTCATCTCATGAATGGAAAAGTGTGGTGCAGGGAGAGAGGGTGACTTAGCTAAAGTTACACAGCCTGCTCTGCCCTCTGGCCATCACACACACGCGTACACACACACACAGTTTGTTCTTGGGCCCTATGCCTGTTACACACACACACACACACACACACACACACAGAGTTTATTCTTGGGCTCTATGCCTGTTCGAGGAATGGCGGGCCCTCAATATTGCCCTTGACTTACATCCTAAAATCTACTTGGTCAACAGGTTCTGCTCATTCTAACGTATTCTCTGTACAACATTCCTGAACACACAACTGTTTTGTCCTTTCATTCTCCATTTTACCAACCTAGTCCAGAGTCTATCACCTCTGATTTAGACAGTGAAGGCCCTTAGTCAAAATGGGGGGGGGGGGTAGTTGGGAAAGAGTGGGTAAGTATTTTTTCTGAAGCAGAGCTCTGATCAAATCTCTCCTGAGCAGAAACAACTGAGCTCTCCTCCAGAAGGCCTTGAATCTTATTTTAGCTTGTCTGTTGAGGGGCTTCCACAGCCTGGCTCCAACTGCTGTTTCCCCAGCATTGAACACAGTGCCTTCTGCCTAGTAAACTCTTCCAATTAAGTAATGATTGATTGAAACTAGGAGACATTCAGATGGTCACATGCCCTATAGAAAGAGTTCCTGAAAATAACATGTATTGTAATATCCCAGATTTGTTTATTTTGCAAGGCTAGATCTGATAGATGAGATCAAGGCATTAAAAAAATGTCTAGAGTCAAGCCTGGGCTTTGCTGGAGTGAACTTGTGTTTAGTAATGCATCTCAGGGATTTCTGCCTGTGGGGTTTCAGTTATGAGGAGAAGCAAGTGGCTCTGGGCTTTGCAGGATGTGGGAGGGAGATTAGTGTCAAATTCTAGATAATCTTACATAACTGTACAATAGTCATCATTTACCTGGTATCCCTACTTTACAACTGTACCTTGTTTCTGTGCCAGACATAAAATGGTCAAATGGCTCTTTATTTCTCCTGTAGGACAGTTACCCACATCGTGCCTCAGGCAAACATCTGAGGTGCTCCAGCAAATGGAGCTGGCTGTCTCCTGGTCTGTTAAGCAGTCCAACCAAGTACCTCACGGAGGACTGAACCAGAGTCCAGAGAGTGTGACTGAGCAGCCCAGAGTCATAAATGGGCCTCTGAAGGCAGTGCCAGCCTCTGTTGTTCTCTCCTGACATGAGTCAGAGATAAGTCTGGGGATGCCAAGACCTCTCTGGAGGTCAGGCAAGGTGAGGATCCTTGGTCCTTGGGCTGGGGACTGAAACTGTGGAGTTCTCAGAACAGATCTCAGAGGCACCCAGCCTCTGAGCCTGGGACGGCCTTGCAGCCTTTACTCTCCTTCTCCAGAGCAGCCAACCCAGTCCATTTAGCTTCCCACCTATGGCTAGTGACAGTCACTTGCAGTGCTCTGCCCTCACTAGCATGCCGCTTTGCACCAGCTGGTGATGTTGAATCCTCTCCTGGATGTCTCTCTCCTGGATGTTAGTCTCTTTTAGCAGGCTCTGGCAGGCTCTGTGATGCTGCCTCAGAGGTATGACAAGCTTTGCAGGGTACTTTGGCTAGTGGCTTTATTTGTTGTTGCCCATTAGAGGAAACTGATGGTGACTCTAGCCAGGTCGGCAGCCATGACCCTGCCCATAGTACTCAGGAACTGAGGGGCAGTCTCCAAATGAGGTATGTTGACCCTGGGTTGGAAAGCAGTTAGAACATGTATTAGGGTACAAGATGGAGATATTAGAACGCTTTGAGATTTTTTTTGCCTTCCTTTGAATTCATATTTGTGTTTTAAGGTTAGAAAGTATTTGTAGATTATACATGTATGGAGTTTATTAATGAAAACATTTACCTATTAGAGATGCCTTTGTTTGTTACTGACTGGGATGTGTTATCATAAGTTTGGGGAATCAAAGTTCCCTGCTTCCCTCCCACCACTATGGTAAGAGTCTTCTGAATGCTGTTTTTAAAAAGAAGATTACTCAACTTGTCAGAGGGGAATGGAAACTGAAACTGTTCTCTGAAACTACTTGTGATCCATGTCAGCATGGGTGTCTGGCATCAGGAGAGTTGGTAAAATCTAGAGTATGATTTGCTTTTGGTTCCCAAATTTGACAATGTGGAAGGGAAGCCTTAGTAAGACGGGCATTTTGTTTTACTTTTTCTTTTGTTCCCTACCCTGTTTCCGAAGTCTAGAGCTGGGCGGCACATAGTGGGCACTCAATGAGTATTTGCCAAGTGAGTAGATGGGCCTTTTTGTTGCATGCCAGAGATCTTGCTAGATTGGCTGCTTCAAGTCAATATTTAAGTTGGCTTCCTTTGTTCAGACCTTTGGGCAGTTTGCGGGATCAGTGTCTGTGCCAGTTTGCTGTTCCATGAATAGTTTGGTAAACTATGGAGTCATATCATAGAGTTGTTGGGGCCCTGGAATTGTCATTTGGGATTTGCCTTGAAATTGTTTTTTAAGGTGGGCAATGAAACAATATCATCAAAACATTAATCATGCTTGACGCTGAAGTCAAGGTAATAGGTATATGGTAGTTTTATTATACTGTGTCTACTACTGAATAGATAAGGAAATTTTCATAATAAAAATTTAAACAAAACATAAAAGGGAATGTAGAGACCCAAAATGAGTGTCACCTAGTTTAAGCAGATAATAGCCAAACTGGACAATCTTTTTTCTTTCTTTCTTTCTTTTAAATACTGGGTCATTATTCTATAATCAACTTGTTCGATTATCTTTGTTTTTAGCTTCCTCAGGGCCAGTCACCTCTTCCGATGGTTATCTGAATGCTCTGTAATTTTTAGCTTATGTCTCATGCTGTCACCAGTACCTCTCTTATCCTTCCCCATGTAATGAGCAAAATCCTGGCTTACTTTTTCTCTAATTTGCTTGTTGCTTCCTCCAGTACTGCTGAGGCCTTCCATAAGGACATCAAGGGCTCTTGTTCTTTAAAGATTATCCAATCCTGAGGAACCTTGATGCTTGAGAATTTTTTATAGATTTCATTTGTTTCTGCTTTTAAAGTAACAGCAGTTACCTTTTAAAATCTGTAAAAATTCAAATGGAACTTCTTCAGCCTTGTGAGTTGGAAGTTCTCTAGTCTTTTCTCTCTGGGTGGAAATCTGCCTTTGTATTCTGTCTGCTACCTATATCTGTTCTGCTAAGCCATTTCTCTAGTCTGTAGTCACTCTGAAACCTTGATCTATTTTAAGAGGTGTAAGTAACCTTATCCAACCTTGTGTCCTCTTATCCAGGTCACTACTATTTGATAGTTGTGACCTCTGATGGTGGCTGGGCCATATGTGCTCCTTGAGGACAAGGACTTAGGTATATTGTCCTCAGTCTCCTACACTATGGAGGCAAGGATGGGAGGGCTTCATAAACTAAAAACCCCTGGGCGAAAGGAAAGCCTCTAGCGGCTGTTCTATAGCCTGTTGACAAGTATGCATCCTGGAGGGAGAACCAGTCTCCCTGCCTCTGCCTTGTGAGCTGCAGATCCCTGACCCAACCCTGCCCCTCTTCCTGCTACCTCCTTGCTCCCAGTCTGGTCTGACTGTGCAATTGTCCCTCTGCCTCCATCTGTCTCTGTCTGTTTAGATCTGGTTCTGCCTGTGCTCTCTGCATGGCCCTCCTTCCCCTCTAGTCTGTACATAGAGTTTTCTTCCTCCTGAAGCCTCCTCTGGGGTTATCTCCCCTTGTGTGGTGTGGTTGGCTTCACTCCTGCAGGTGTGTTTGTTCTCCCTGATCACCTGAACTTGCTGAAAGAGGAGAAAACATTGCTAGTGCAATTCCTCATGGTAATGGCCTTCTGTTTTTTGTTTTTTGTGGTGCTGGGGATTGAACTCAGGACTTGGCACATGTTAGGCAAGCTCTCTACCACTGAGCTACATCCCCAGCCTGGTAATGGCCTTCTGTTTGCAAAGGGCCAGGGGAGTTTTTTATTCCCCTGCAATTTTCAGAGTATTGGTTGTGTATTCAATGAGATCCTTTTTCACAGAGACACTTATGTGGAAGTTGCCCCCATCGCTGGCCAGTGGGTGAGCCAGGGGATAACATAGGGCAGACAGGGCTTAGATATGTGTTTTTGGGGAGGGGCTTATAGCCCATCTGTCATTCTTTAATAAGAACAGGGTGCCACCCTAAATCCTTTGTGGAGCAAGTGGGAAATACAATAAATACAGAAGGACATTAATTTACTTGACCTAGCCATAGCTTGTTTATCTTGAGAAATATTTAAAAACAATAGTTAATGATTAACATGGTAAATTTTATAGTGTGTATTTACCATAATAAAAATTAGAAAAAAGGAATAACAAAATAATAATAAATACCTATAGGCCCATCACATAGAATTTATGGTTTTTAATATTATTTTCTTCCTATGTAATAGTTACCTGCAGTTTGTAGGTGTAGGTGGAATCCCTTGATTTGGTCCACCTGGGTGTCTTTGGCCTTCTCTTAGGGAGTCTTTGAGAGGCCACCATGGTGCTTCTAATGAAAGGGAGCATAGCTGTCCTCTGTTTTCACACCTTTCTTTAGCTCTTCTGAAGCCCACATAGGCAGAGCATTGCCTTGTGATTGTGTAGCCCATCGGGGGCATGGCTAACACCTGGAACAGGATCTTCTGCATTTGAGTCTAGGATTCTTCCATGGTTCTGTTTATTTCCATAGTCACCACTGGAAGATATTGGCTTTGTACAAAGCACCTGAGAGGACCCTAAGACTTAGGTCCCTTCTTTATGTGCAGTTTCTCAAACAAGTGGACCCATCCCAAGGTCCTCACTGGAGAAGCCTTTCTGCCTAGTTGGAGTCTGACCCTGGTCACCAAAGCCAGACATGGGATCCTCTTTCCTGTTAGGCTGGGTGGGACTTTTTACTTTAGGGTTTACTTTCTGGTTCATCCCAGCTCTGTAAGGTAGAGGGTCTGTCCCTCTATCTTTATTGTATTGTGGTAGCAAAAGGAATTTCCTTCTTTAACTATTATAATAACACATTCTACTTGCCTAATATCCTTAAATATCAGGACATGGTGTCATGTTCTTCAAAATGGAGTCTTATAAACAATTTGGACTCTTTCCCTAAACTGAACATAAAATGAAATAACATGCCCTATTAGATCCAGCTGATGAATGGAAAACTTAATCTACAGGAGTCTATCTTGCTTATTGCTGTAGAGTTGGGTCAGTCCACCAAACAGGTCTTGTTGCCACCTACTGAAGCCACACTGATTAACTGAGGCCATCTGTTCTGTCTAAGCCCACTCACTTCCTTCTTTAGCTCCTGTCATTAAACCTCCCTGCCTTGTCATGACATATACACAAAAGTCATGAAGCAGTATTAAATCAGTATTTGAAGACAAATAGAATAAGCTTGCTTCTCTTAGGAATGTCTTTTGAAAGGAGACTTACCTCTTAAATATATCTCACTGACATTTAACCTTTCCATCTTGCACAAAGGCTTTTGCGTGACCTGGACATCCTTCACCAGACATGTCAAACTATAATTATCATTTTCCCACATGGATTTCCACAACAGGTTTTCATTGCATCTGTATGTAGAGAGTAGGGAAGAGGGCTATGTGGTTTGTGTGTTTGTTTATTTTCTCAGGAAGATGTTAGGCAGGCCCAGTTGCTTGCATTCCTTACATCTCAGAGAGCCACACACCCAGCTCTGTCGGTGTTTTGGGAGCATTCTCCTCACCAGAGTCCTCCCATTGGACTCTACCAACCCATGCTAGGAGAAACCTGGTGTGTTTCTCAGGTTTGGAGGACTCTCTCTTTTGTCAGAGAAAACTCTGCAGACTTGGCTGGTCATCACTAGCCAGAAGGGCTCAAGCCTTCTGTTTTACCTAAGAAAAGTGATAGTGGAATCTCTTCCCCTGCCTTTGGAAAGTGCTGATTTGTGCTGAACTTATCAGCAGTCATATGTCTGATTACGTGCCTGAATGTCTTCTGAAGAGGAGAGGATCCTTGCTCTTAGTGCCGACACAGTTCTTGGGATGACTTTATACAACGGTGAAACAGTTTGAGAAGCATAAAACATCATGGTAACTTGGCAAGAGAATATTTTTATGTAACCTTTAAACCATTGTTTGCTAGCACCCATTTACCAGGGAGATGTTGTTTACTGCCTTCTAGAACATGACTCACAGCAAGTCTGGGGGGAATGCCCCTTTCCTCTTCAGAGAGTTACTGTTCTATACCAGTGATTTGCAGTAGGGAAATGGTCAGACTCAGAGAGGGTCATTCATGACTCAGTAAATATTCATGAAGTACCTGTTTTGGTCTAGACACTGTGTTAAGCACCAAGGGCAGGAGGAGAGAAGCAACTGGAAGTTACAAAGTGTCACTCACTATAAGCATAAAATAGGAGCTGCTGAGCACCACGAAAGGGGTACAAATAAAGTGTTGCTGGAGTTGAACAGAAGGACTAATGGCTTCTTACTAAGGAGATCCTCTAAGAGTTAATTAGAGAAAGTGGCCCTGGCCAGTTTTGTTGGGATTTGGACATCATTGAACAGGACCAAGGAA